GCTGAATATTTGAAAAAAAAGCGTTAATTTTAGTATTTTCATGTATGTGGAAGATTACATATTTTGTATAGTCTAGTACCTGGTTTTTCATCTCATGTCAGTTTTTGCTATTCGGCATCATGTTTACATGCGCAAAGCTTCACACAGTACTCATACTGTCACAGCCACATTCTTCAACTGCTGTCGAGAGATAAAAGGACGCCTGGTTGTCCTCAAGCTGCGTGATTCAGCTGTTCGTCCTATCCATTTCTTCCCTTTCTACTGTTTATTCATGGGAGAATATTCATGTCGTTTTACTTCATCATTACACTGCCGTCGTGACGACTTCGTGTTCGGTGGTCATAAACCGTTCTCAACAATCTGTTGTCATTATCGAGCGCATCATCTTCATTATCTATCGCAGAAACACGATCGTCCTATAAAGCATTACCCATCGATAATACATTCGATTTGCTCAGGAACTGCACCTAAGCAAATAGGCAGTGAACAAGAAAAGAGCTGTCTGCCGCTATCATTAAAAGTTTTATTGGTCGCAATACAGCCCCGCATGGCACGTAGTTTTTGTTTCATGAGCATGTGGTTATAGATATGACAATAATTATAGAATGAATGCATTTCAGTGAGAATATTTTAGCAATAAAGAGGGCTTTGCTTGCACGCACATAGTACTAATAAAGAGCCCGAATCATTTTACGGGAATGTGTCATATGAATACCGGTCTCACATTGTTTTCAGTGTTGTTCACAAATCACCAATGTGCTTGTGGACCTTAAATTTAAATATTATTTAAGTATTGTTACCGAATGTATTTACTCATTGCTATACTTGTCAAAAAAGATTCACTTGCAAGTACACAACATTTCTAGTGAAGAATTCGATCATTCCAGTAATGAAAGCGCGGCGTTTTCAGCTTGCTTTAAAGAGAAACACCCGTCAAATACGCCTAAGAAGAACATGCCTTTGTGAACACTTGCACACGGTATCGCAGCGCCATCAAACATTCACAATGGGAAAGCAAGCTCTCCACACGGAAATCAAATATGTAGCGGCTCGTTTGAACGGCGCGCGACTTGCCCTAAAGATTTCGGCTAATCGGAGCACCTACGCACAATGCACTTGCTCGGCAACAACCTATTTGAAGCGTGGCCACATAATGCTTGCGATAACGGCAACATATTTGTAACCAGTTCCAAGAGTGCCTGTCTTTCTTGAACTCGAAAAAGAACCTGTGTGGGGTCGAAACAATGTAGAGAAGCAATGGCTTCGTAACATCATACCTCCAGCTGCTTTTGCTTGTTGCATTATCAGGCCCGTGTTGCGTGACTCAAAAGCATATGCTTAAAACTCAGCGGATGATTTCTGGGGCCGGTAAGGTACTTTTCTCCCGCAAAACTAGTGCCAGTCTGTCCTACAGCGATTATTCTCCTTAAGAGGACAGCAGTGGTGCCTTGTTCGCTCAAAAATATTATGCTATGTTTTTCTTATTGATGAGTAACTTGTTCTAAAACAACATACGTTATCCAGAAACTAGAGCAACTTATATTTGGGAAGGAAGATATATTAGTGTTAACGAGACCTCTTGTTTTACGTCCGAATACCATGACTTCATGACGAGGGACGCTGTAGTGGAGGGCTCCGGAAATTTCCACCATCTGGAGTTCTTTAACATCCTCTGAGATCGCGCGGTACGTGGGTCTTCTAATAGGAGTATGTACAATTTTGTCAACACTTGAGGTAAGATCGCACCCAGGTGGTGATCTTACCTCAAGCGTTGGTGTCTTTCATAGCCTTCATCCATACAAAAAAAATCACAGCATATCTATGGAGTGGATGACGAGTGCGGCGACGCATCCGTCCATCCATCTGTCCATTCATGTTTCCATCCGTCCGTGTGTCCGAATTAATCGATGGACGGATAAACGAATGGATGAAAAGAGGCACGGACGTGTGGACAGACTGACGGTTGCATTGACGGACGCATAAACGGACGCACGAACGGAAGCACAAACAAATAGACGGACGTAAGAATGGACGGAAGCATGTACGGACAGGCAGATGAATGCACGGACGGATGGACGGACGAATGCATGAACAGACAGACAGATGGATGCACGTCCGGACTCACGGACGGACGGATGGATGTACAGAAGCATGGACGAATTGACAGAAGCATGAACGGATGGACGGAGGGAAGAAGGGATGCACGGACGAATTGACAGAAGCACGAACGGACGGACGGGGGGAGGAAGGGAGCAGAGACGAATTGACAGAAGCACGAACGGACGGACCAAGGGAGGAAGGAAAGCACGAACGGACAGACCGAGAGAGGAAGGGAAGCACGAACTGACGGACGGAGGGAGGAAGGGAAGCACGAACGGATGGACGGAGGGAAGAAGGGAAGCACGAACGGACGGACGGAGGGAGGAAGGGAAGCACGAACGGACGAACGGAGGGAGGAAGGGAAGCACGAACGGATGGACGGGGGGAGGAAGGGAAGCACGAACGGACGGACGGAGGGAGGAAGGGAAGCACGAACGGACGGACGGGGGAGGAAGGGAAGCACGAACGGACGGGGGAGGAAGGGAAGCACGAACGGACGGACGGGGGGAGGAAGGGAAGCACGATCGGGCGGACGGGGGGAGGAATGGAAGCACGATCGGATGGATGGAGGGAGCAAGGGAAGCACGATCGGATGGATGGAGGGAGGAAGGGAAGCACGAACGGACAGACGGGGGAGGAAGGGAAGCACGAACGAACGGACGGGGGGAGGAAGGGAAGCACGAACGGACGGACGGGGGGAGGAAGGGAAGCACGAACGGACGGACGGAGGGAGGAAGGGAAGCACGAACGGACGGACGAAGGGAGGAACGGAAGCACGAACGGACGGACGAAGGGAGGAACGGAAGCACGAACGGACGGACGGGGGGAGGAAGGGAAGCACGAACGGACGGACGGGGGGAGGAAGGGAAGCACGAACGGACGGACGGGTGGAAGAAGGGAAGCACGAATGGACGGACGGACGGACGGACGGACGGATGGATGGATGGATGGATGGATGGATGGATGGATGGATGGATGGATGGATGGATGGATGGATGGATGAAGGGGTGGGTGGGTGGATGGCTGGATGGATGGATGGATGGATGGATGGATGGATGGATGGATGGATGGATGGATGGATGGATGGATGGATGGATGGATGGATGGGTGGATGGATCGATGGATGGATGAATGAATGGATGGGCGAAATCGATGGGAGAATTGACGGACGCACGGGCCCTTCGCCCCACTCATCATCATTCACTCCGTGGATATGCTGTGAGAACTACTAACGCCATCTAGTTATAATATTCTCCAAGATCTATAAAGCAACGTTATATATTGAGCAAGCCATATACAAGAGGTGGCTACATACATGCATACGGAGGACAACGACCTATGGCCTAAAGAGCACCGTCCCCAAAAAATACCTCTGGAACACCTAAAGCAACGCGCCCTATTCATTTGTATGTTATAACTCCACGTTCACCGCTTACGCTTGCCGTGTCGAAAAAATGCAGCCGGCCAACAGACAAGACACAACGCTCGTTACGTTTCCCTCTGGTCGAGCCGTGGCATTCAATAACTCCAACGTGACCCGAGTTGGTGACCTTAGCCCAAGGTCGGCGTCCAATCATCGCGTTCTCGCTGCCACATCGCTTCCTCTGGTTCCGCATTCATTTCTTACAAGAGTTTGTGTAATCATTATTGATGGGTGTTTGTCATCGGGATGGAGATGTATGACGAAGCGTTAACGTGGGTGCATCCACGTTAAGCAGTGTTGTACTTGTAGAACACCACCAGACATTGAGCAAGCTCTCTTATATCAATGTACGCAACTATTAAACTACTTCTGTAAGTATATGATTTACTTTCATATTTTACCGGTTCCTATGACGGAAGGATAAATTTGTTTGTTCTTTTCTTCATACTGACTCCCACGCGCTTATACATCCTTTGAGCAGTAAATGAATTGGCAACGATTCCTGGACAATCAAACCTCGATTCTGACTCGGCTCGTTATCGCCTCATGCATGAATTATCTTTTTTTCTATAATGTTTAGACCATTTACTGAAGCTAATAGCCTCTTTAAAATCTTAAGACGATGATCACATTGCATTTATTTTTCTTCTACTTCATATTCCAGGTGACAGGATCTCTTCGCATATCACACGTGAGCAAACACGAATTCTCATTGATTGCCTACCAGCCATTTAGGAAAGGTACAATTTCCGAAGTAGATTGTGTACTAGAATGACCACAGTATTAATACTAAGTCATCTTAGAATAGCTTCCTTCCCAAGTCAATAGAGGACTGGAACACAATTCTAGATTCGGTCATTACGTCGCCACACTTTGTCCAAGCTCTGGAGGAGCATATTTTTTTTTGTTATCTGTTTTTTAGTGCTAATGATATTTTATTTCTCTATGTATGAGAATTATTAATTTTATGCACCCATTGTTAATGCATCCTATTTTATGCACCCATGTTCAAAAATGTATCATTGCATGTATTACGCCATCCTTGCATTTTGCTCTTTCATGTGTACTGCCCCTCTTGCCAGTGCCAAGCTAGCTTGCATTATATTGAAATAAATAAATAAATATGAGACCCTTGCGTTCAAGCACGAAAACCCTACTCGCTTTGTGGCATTGTTGCCTTGGTGAATGTTCTACGAAGCACAATGGCATCAGTGCAGTGCGAAGCAAGTGAACAATTTTTCATACACCTGCCATTGTAATATTGAATATAATACCTCAAAAGAATAAAAAGTACGCGCATTCAATGTGAAAAGTGCAACGCAAGAAGAAAATCGCCATCTGTCGTATTTTAACGTTCTTTTTTATTTATTCTTCTTCACTGCCTACGCGAAACCACCAATGGATTATTGGAAAAACAATGCCTATATGTCACCTCTCTTAAGTTGCTTTTCTCAGCCAAAGCTAGTACGATAAAAAATAAGACGACAGCGTATATATAAGCCACAGCTAGGTTCTTACCGACCACCTTTCGTCGGCGACAGACAAAACACATCCAACGGCCGGAGGTCGCCTAACTGCGGCAACATGAAGTTCTTCAGTGCTGTCGCACTACTATCACTGGGTAAGACGACTTTGGTCGACGTTAGCACGAGAGCAACAGTTCATGCGAGAAGTTGAGCATCGCAACGGAGTCACGTGGTGGACGATAGCCGCGCCTATAGGCGCGGCTATCGGAGCGACAGCAGGCGCAACGTGCAGAGCTTGAACAGATTATTGAGCAATTGGGCTAATCTTTATGCGAGTTCAATTGCTGAACAGCTCTACCCTTGTTATTTTCCGCATTCTAAGGGCTATTAGGTAAAGTTTGTTTTTTTTAAGTCAGCGAATCATACCGATAACCACCTTCAAAATCCACAAGAGCGAGAGAGGGTCTTTGTTCTAATTTCCCTTTAGTTTTAGTTTATTCATGATCTTATGATTTTAAAAAAGCTTATATGCTGATGCGATAAGCCTTAAGAAAGCGAAAGTAAGGCCTCATTGAGAAAGGGTGAACGCTATACAATGGTTAGGGGCCCCTACAGTTGAGAGGTCGAGTGGTTCGAGTGGCTCGCTTGGCTTGGTCCAGGAAATCCAGCAACCGTCCCTTGGTTAAAGCAGCCCGAAACGAAGGCAACACGTGACCACCAATGGCACATGCAGGCGTTGATCACCGTTGTCCGGTGTCGTTTGTATCACGTTGCCGTCTTTTTCCGCTGCCTTTACCACGACAATCAACCGGCCATCTCAGTTTCGCATACTATCATTGTCGTGTTCCTCGTCCGCAAGCCTTGCCTCACACTGGTTTATAAAATGTTGCTTTTCAAATTCGTGCGTGCCCTTTCGTGGTGGTTTTCCGGCGCGTGTGAATGTAATTGGTCACATTAGAGAATTTTCGCTAGACCTCAAACTTTGTCTTACGTTCTCTACAGTAGAGTGTATTATTCGAAGCCAGCCCCTCGCCCACCTGCTGATCAGTTTTCAAACTCATTCATTTTTTATCTGGACTGTTCCAAAAGTATAGCAAGCCTTTTAAGATCAGCGCGTGACTTTTCTGACCCTGATATTTAATATATTCGTGTTATTCGAAATACATGAAGCCTTAAAAAACAATTTTGCGACAAGCAGACCCATATTAACTCCACTACGGGACACGGCAAAGGTATGCCAAGCTTTCAAAATTTTATATGCGCCTTCGAGAGTGTAAAAAACTACCTTTTATTGTATTGTGTTCGCCAAATTAAAGCATTTTTATTAGCTGAAGAAATTCACAGGAACTAGCTAAAATTATTGAACTCTTATTTTAGCGCTTTTATTGTTTATTAACTAATGGTAGACACTGTCAATTACTGCCGAAACAATCTGCTTCCGTGATAATATCTAGTGTGGCTTTACCTACTACTGGATGCCCTGAATCATATTACGAACAGGCAATCAATACTGCCGGCAGACAAAAAGTGTGACTAAGTAACGAGCCAAAACGACAAGCGCTGGCCGCACCTTTCATTTAGCGCTATTCAACGATAAAATCTGCTCCCCCTCCACGTTACCCATCGGCATAATGAGGCCAACATAGCTTATAGACTATAAAAGGGCCGCTTATGGCACATCACCATAGCCCAGCTTATTTGAACGCTTCAAGTTTCAAGAGACAGGCTATCCAAGTAGACTAAAACGGCAAAATCAATACTGTTACATTATGAAGTCCCCCGATGCGTTTGGCCCACCTACATAATCGATTATTTCTTCGCATAATGCCTAAGAGCAATACTTTTGCCGTGCCGTAGCACCTGTTCGTCGGGTGCTTTCTCAAGTCTCGAGTGCTTTTTAAAAAAAATCTGGAAAAATTAAAATCACTGTAGCCATATTTCCGAAATTAAGTCATGAAATTTAATTATTAAATTGTAAACTTATCCACAGAGGACCCTGAGCTCTAAAGAATAACTTGAAATCTCACTAAATGTTTTCAAGAAAGGGTGTCAGCCGTTTCTTAATTGCCATCAACTGTGTAAAGAAGACAGCAGTCAGTTCTGATTTGTTGAAGTTTTCGTAACATGCACGTGAAGCTTGGGACGAATTGGTTGAAGGCCCTTCTATATCAAGAGCGGTTCCTGATTAGTTCAAGAAAGTACTTGAAAGATATCGCACACGCAATCGAGGCACCTTCAAATGTTTGTTTTTTTTACAACGAGATCACAAAACGGAATAATTGCTTGGCGCAAGTGCTCACCGATAGTTAGCGACAGTGAGGCAGGTGAAGGCCTATCAGAACAATCACTTGGTATGTGTAAAGAATAATCAAGTTATGCATTGAAATCAATCAACCATGTACGCATTATGAAAATTTTCTTTTTATTTTACCAATCACAGCAACAGTACATAAAGAAACATGTGGGAGTGCAAGTTGATAATGTTATCGTAGCCCTAAATCCCGCGTGTTGCACAATACCAAGAACCACACACTTGCTTACAAATTAGAAAAATGTAAAAGCTTCTTCGATATCTTAATATGTTTGAAATAATGAACGGCCACCTCCGGGAGTTTATAGAGAAATAAAAGACAGCAACCTGTACGAATTCTCGCTTGGAGAGCAGGTCAGCAACGGCAATAAAAAAATTTTTCGCAATATGCAATAATTCGCACTAGGCTGGGTAACTACAGAGCTGATGGGGCACTTGAAACTCGCGCTGGCTCGGCTAGGCTTTCAGCCTCTCAACCCTTGCTATACCATACTATTAATGGGTACGTTTGATCACATGTTATTCTCTACGTTTTTTTTTTCTTTCCCGGTCTATCTGTTCTTCTGCCCTTTCGTTTTCTCTCTTTCTGTTTCTTATTTTTCCCTTTCTATCTCTCTCTCCAAATCTGTACTCGCTCTGCCCTCCTCAAGTCGTCCTTCTAACTTTCACTCCCATTTTTTACTTGCTAGCTATACTATCATAAGGGTGTGCTATGCTCTACTAGCGTGTTTGGGTAACCAATGGGTATCACGCTAGCCTCCGTGTCGTGGAGAATCAAGCTCGAATACCGCCTCTAAATGTCTCCCTACACGGCGAAACTCGATTATAACGGCCACGCTGTATAAGTCCTTAGCGCGTATGCGCAAAAAAAATATAGGCAAATCTTACGACGCATCACAACGACATACACATAACAAGGGAACATACAGGCGGCTGATGCCGATCAAGATTACTGTCGAAGTTAAACCATCGATTAACACAGAAGCGGCACGTTTCAACTCACATTTTTAACCATGTGTACAAAATGCTTGCGTGGTGATTGAGCACTCGCCAGTTCAGGGAATTTTCTATTTACGATAAACGGCAAATATTGATAATGACAGCTCTGCTATAGAAACGTAAAAGATCGTCAGCCCGAATGGTTACTACGAGAAACTTGCTACGTTTTTTCTCATAGATACATCCTTCCGAGCGCATCTTTCCTTTATAATTCACTATCAAGCTACAAAATATCTACAGCAGCTTTCAGCTGTTGAAGTTTAGCAGAAAATGTTTCCGGTTGAAGAAAACAAAGCTGAGTACAACTAATTATACATGCGAGGTGTCAGTGCCCTTACCGTACAACTGCCGAGTGACTTTCGATCAAGTGTCTTTCGTTTTTTTTTTTACGTTACATATTATTGTTATTATGCGCACGTCATGCTGTCGTTCATATGAAAAATCTAACATTGTCGGAAAAATTTGGTATATTCAAAAGATATTGCGCATTTAGAACAATTAAACATAATGTAAAACTCAAATTCGGGAACTGCGTTTCTAGCCAAATTTGTCTTCTTTTGCACGTACGTCAAATGTCTTAATTTAAATCAATTGAAACAGCGTTTTCCAATATGTATCAAGCCTAAATAGATGAGAATCAGCTCCGCTTAGAAAGGCATGACCATTTGTGAATCCTAAAATCTACGACATACGGTAGAAGATACACATATCATTATGAACAGCTTTAATGGGGTAATGTGAAAGTTGCAGGTAAGAATTGCTGTTGAGACGTACTTGTTAAAATTATCAGTAACAAAGGCAGCCTATGCTAAGGGATGATAAGAAAACTGGCCACTGATTACAGTCTATACAGGCGGTGGCCTGGGGGTCAAATTATTTCCAAATACTACTCTGTCTGAATCATTCTGATTCATACAGACTAGTATTTGGAAATAGTTTGACCTGCAGTCTTTGGAAATAATTTGATTTGGAAGCCAAATTTCGCAAAGTTAGAGGTCACCTGATAATAAATAACTTTCCCGCTGCAAGAACACCCAGTTCTGTAGTAGAACTGATGGTAATTTACTTTTTATGCTTGTGGATTGTCGACGTATTTATTGAGATTAGTTGATTATTATATTAGTAAAGTAAACTGAACCTCGCTTCTTCACTTATATTTATGGGCTTATAATCAGTCAAGCATGATGCTATTTTACATAGTAGTTAAAGACATTTTTCTCGTGGTCAGTTCCTGTATTTCTAATAATGAAATTGCGCTCATTAAATACGTTTTTTTTTTGTTTCCGTCAGTCTGTGTTGCTTCTCCCGTCTTTCAACCTTTGCTGTGCCACAGTATTGTTAATACAGTGTGAATCAGTTGGCCTAACAATGGGTACTATATCGGTTTTTTTTTTCGTTTTCTCTACAGCCATTCCGGCTTGCCTTGGTGCCGGAATCAAAACAATTGTCAGAGGAGGTGCTGCCCTTCCAGGAACAGTAGCTGCTGCTCCACTAAGCTCACTGCCCGCCATCCCTGCAGTCACCAGTGGGGTCAGTTCTGTAGTTACCCCAAGCGTCACAACTGGGCTCACCGGCACTGGCCTCGGAACCGTGCCCGGATCCGTCACCGGAACGTTGGGTGGTCTTACTGGCTCTTACCCTAGCTCCCTCAACGGGCTCGGCGGTGGCCTGTGGGGAAGCTACCCGGGTTCCTGGGGTGGTTCCCTGGGTGGTCTTTATCGCTCCTACCCTGGCTACCTCGGTGGGTTCGGTCGTGGACTCTATGGTAGCTACCCAGGTTCTTTCGGTGGCTCTCTTGGTGGTCTCTATGGCACCTACCCTGGCTACTTTGGCGGGTTTGGTCGTGGACTCTACGGAAGCTACCCTGGCTCCTTCGGTGGATCTCTGGGTGGCCTGTATGGATCCTATCCCGGTAGCTTTGGTGGATACCTCGGGGGTCTTTCCGGATATTACCCTGGAAGGTTTGGTGGAGCTCTGAGTGGTCTCTATGGATCCTACCCTGGTAGCTTTGGTGGAATCCTTGGTGGCCTCTCCGGATCCTACCCAGGAAGCTTTGGTGGAGTTCTTGGTGGTCTCTACGGATCTTACCCTGGTAGCTATGGTGGATACCTTGGTGGTCTTTCCGGATATTACCCCGGAAGACTTGGTGGAGTTCTCGGTGGTCTCTATGGATCCTACCCAGGTAGCTTTGGTGGAGTACTAGGTCGCCTTTCTGGATCCTACCCAGGAAGCTTTGGCGGAGTTCTCGGTGGTCTCTATGGATCCTACCCCGGTAGCTTTGGTGGAGTCCTTGGTCGTCTTTCCGGATCTTACCCAGGAAGCTTTGGCGGAGTTCTCGGTGGTCTCTACGGTTCCTATCCAGGAAGCCTTAGTGGAGTTCTCGGTGGTCTCTACGGATCCTACCCAGGTAGCTTTGGTGGAGTACTAGGTCGCGTTTCTGGATCCTACCCAGGAAGCTTTGGCGGAGTTCTCGGTGGTCTCTACGGATCCTACCCCGGTAGCTTTGGTGGAGTCCTTGGTCGTCTTTCCGGATCTTACCCAGGAAGCTTTGGTGGAGTTCTCGGTGGTCTCTACGGATCCTACCCAGGTAGCTTTGGTGGAGTCCTAGGTCGCCTTTCTGGATCTTACCCAGGAAGCTTTGGCGGAGTTCTCGGTGGTCTCTACGGATCCTACCCCGGTAGCTTTGGTGGAGTCCTAGGTCGCCTTGCTGGATCCCACCCAGGAAGCCTTGGTGGTGTTTTGGGTGGTCTCTACGGATCCTACCCTGGTAGCTTTGGCGGATACCTTGGTGGTCTTTCCGGATACTATCCCGGAAGATATGGTGGCGCTTTGAGCGGTCTGTATGGATCCTACCCCGGAAGCTTTGGTGGATACCTTGGTGGTCTTTCCGGATACTACCCCGGAAGATTTGGTGGAGCTTTGAGTGGTCTGTACGGATCCTACCCCGGTAGCTTCGGTGGATACCTTGGTGGTCTTTCCGGATACTACCCCGGTAGATTTGGTGGAGCTTTGAGTGGACTTTACGGATCCTACCCTGGTAGCTTTGGTGGATATCTTGGAGGTCTTTCGGGATACTACCCCGGAGGCTATGGTGGATTGGGTGGCCTCTTCGGTGGCTTCCCTGGCTACGGCGACCGCAGTCTCGCCAGTCTTTTCGGCAGAGGAGCATATCCTGGCTTCTACGGAGCTACCACCTTGAACCTCATTGGCAACCGCAACTTTGCCCTTCTCGGACGATTCCCCCCTCCACATGGTATTGGGGCCGTCGAGCGCAGGGGGCGATTCCTACCTCATCCCGTTGACATCCGCACTACCACTGACCCCGTAACTGGTCACCCCATGGTTCAGGCTGTCTACTTTGGAAACCTGCGTGAGCGCATCGTGCCTGTGCCAGTCCCAATCCCAACAGATGTCCCATACCCAGTACCAGTTCCCGTGCCACAGCCATATCCAGTTCCCCGCCAAGTTCCTTACCCAGTGCCCGTCCCTGTAGCCCACCCAGTACCAGTCCACACTAACACTGAAGTGCACAAGACCGACGTTGTAGCCGCCACTCCACAAGGCGCAGGTACGTCATGAGTACTTCGATAACGGGATCTATTTGGTACTTGATCTTAGCAACATGAATGCACACTGAAAGTAATTTGTACTTAGTGTACCGTACTTCATAAAAGCTGCAATAAATTTACGCTCAGTGCAACACCTTAACGACATTACTTTTATGTTCAACCTATGCCGCACGTACGAAGATATTAGCCTTTTTTACGTTAATCCAGGCGTATACATACCTAGAAATTTGTCCGAAAAACTGGCATTTAGAGAAAACAAGGGCATGTCAAGGGAAGCTGCGCTGTCAGATAATGATGACCAGTGTGTAATGCGTTTCCTTGATCAGACTACACCTTCTACTGGTATTTGTACATTCCCAAGGTCTCGGCCTCACTCCTCACGGTAGCTGTGTCCGTCCGCTTTCTATTTCACATGGCCGCTGTCTTTCCAAATGCTTATCATTGAATGTGTGTTCACTATTTGTTTCAATGTTTCTTCGATTCCAGTTCTCGTCGACAGAGCAGTAACTGACGTCCGACCAGGCGCAGCCACCGTTGTGTAAAGAACGCCCAAGGACAAAATCAAGTTACTTCAGTTCATTCAATGGATGGACCATTAAATGCGCATTCAAAATAAACAAAGTTTTATCTGAGGAAAAACGACATCTTGATTCCAGAATATTAACGTTTTTTGTGAGTCACGACGGTGCTATAATGGTTTTTTCAACGCACTTGCCAATATCGATCAATGCACTGATGAACAGTACGTTTTTTTTTTCGACATTGCAGCACTACTAACTACTGTACGGTTCCGACCTTAGAATTTCAAATACAGAAATATCTTCGTTACATGCTTATGCAATTGATTTTTATTGCTAATATCTGCTGTTTTACGTAACGAAGCGACCATGTCATTATGAGGCACACTGCAGTGGAGGGTCTAGTATTTTTTTCTATATTTTGTGATTACATCGCATGATACACGAACCTCTAGCATTTCAACACCACACCTATGTGACCACCATGGCCGGGATCGATCTTTCGTGTGGAAAACCGTAACCACCGCACCATTAAGGCGGGCCAATTCATTGCCCTTGTGCTTAAACTGTTACATTGCCCAAGATCGATGTGAGTAGTTTTCAGTAGTGACGCGATATTTAAAAACTTGGCAAGTGCATAACAACTCTTTTCATTTCAGACAATTTAAAAGGACACTGAAGAGCAAAACGATTTTTACAGTATTCGTAAAGTACAATTTCACACTCACGACAACAACCCTATAACCGCAACATGACGCTTAGTGAGTGAAAACGCGTGTGACGTAAGAAACTTTCAAGGTGTCTACTGGGTTCTACGTAGCTTCCAATCGGTAAAAATGTAGTGCATTATAATCTGTGAGTGTCATAGACTTAGCATACGAAGTTCCACATCATTTCATTGAACCAATGCCCTGAAAATACAAAAAAAAAATGCGTTTTGAAATTTCTCACGTTACGCGCGTAGATGATGGTGCAAAATTTGAAATTTAAACTTCAACCGTTTATTTGCTCTGCTAATAATGAACCTAAAATAATAAAGCATATGTCATTAAAGTTCTGATTGATTTTCAAGGTTTAACGTCCCAAAACCGCCATTCGATTATAAGAGATGCCACAGTGGAGGGCTTCGGAAATTTCAACCACCCGGGGTTCTTTAACGCGCACCCAAATCTGAGCACACGGGCCTGCAGCATTTTCGCCTCCTTCGAAAATGCAGCCGCCACAGCTGGAATTCGATGCCGTGACCTGCGGGTCAGCAGCCGAGTACGTTAGCCACTAGACCACCGTGGCGGGGGGCATTAGAGTTCTCAGTGTGCAGTTCGCCAATCTAAACCAAGTCATGGTTCCTCTTCAATGTCCCCGCAGCATCAAGAAACCCAATGAATAATCGTTTTGCAAAAGAAAAAAAAACTAATGCGTCAATAGTCACCAGTTCTTCTGCGATGTAAATAAAAAAAAGCATGCGTGCCTATAAGTTGAAAAGCCCCACATATATTTCTAAAAGAAAGGGCAAAAGATAATTCTAACAGCTGTTTGCATGAAAATTCTTGAAGTTTTACAACACCAATTTCATCTGTGAAAACTGTGCCATCTTTCTTCGCTTCCTTTTGTGTTGTTATTCAGAAAATTACAGTTTCTTACCACTGGAAACTGGATTATAACTTTGCGGTTGTGTGGTGCTTTGAATGGTTGAAGGAGCGTGATCAATATTAACAAGCATATTCTCTCGAGTCGCCAACTGAGCAAAGGAGCAATTGTATCACGCGGCGTATGTGCTGTACTTGGAATAGGAGAAAAAAGCGAGGAAAGTAAAGTAGGAAGACTTCTTAGCAGCCTGGTTCTGTCTGGCTCACCAACGTTGCCTTCTACCAATAAATCCCAAACACTTGTGGTGGACGTAACATTACATTGGGCGCAATGTTCAAAGAGAAAATATAAACGTTAAAAGCGAAAAATGGCCTATGCCCCCCCCCCCCCCCTTGATTGATTGATATGTGGGGTTTAACGTCCCAAAACCACTATATGATTATGAGAGACGCCGTAGTGGAGGGCTCCGGAAATTTCGACCACCTGGGGTTCTTTAACGTGCACCCAAATCTGAGCACACGGGCCTACAACATTTCCGCCTCCATCGGAAATGCAGCCGCCGCAGCCGGGATTTGAACCCGCGCCCTGCGGGTCAGCAGCCGAGTACCTTAGCCACTAGACCACCACGGCGGGGCGCCCCCCCCCCCTTCCCTTTTGGAAAGCGGTCCCATGCAAAACATTCGGGGAGTATCTGACGGTTCCTTACTGCATTTTGTTAGCTGTGATCCAAGCATTCAAAGTAAGTCGACCCGTCTTTGTAGGTCTGGTAGTTGTGTGCACATCGTGGGTTTACCAGTCACGTCGACTACGCGGACGTTTAAAGGAAAACTCATGGTATGACGTAACGTCAGCACTCACGATAGAGCACATACGTCAGTATTAACTCGGCGAAGGCCACCTAAATGTGCGTTGATGTTAAGTATCGTTCGCAACTTTCGTTCGTGAATTGATCTAGTCTCATGCAGTGCTTCAATATAGTTTACTCAATCATAGGAACACAGATGTAGCCCTTATGTTTACTAGGTCGCTATAAAAGCGGAGCCAGCACCTGAAGCGCAATTGAAGTTATATCTCCTCGTGACGCCTGTATCACATGAGTGAGTATGTATTGTTCACTGCCTTCTTATGAAATTACATATCCTGCAGTGAAACCTCAGTTCACGTTGCGCTGATAATACTCCTGCATAGAGTATTTTTCCAAAGCAATTTCGATTCATTCATGATTGATTGATATGTGGGGTTTAGCGTCCCGAAAACGCCATATGATTATGAGAGACGCCATCGTGGAGGGCTCCGAAATATCCGACAACCTCCTGCTCTTTAACGTGCACCCAAATCTGAGCACACGGGCCTGCAGCATTTTCACCTCCATCGAAAATGCAGCAGCCGCAGCCGGAATTTGATCGCGCGACCTTCAGCACCTGAGTACCTTAGCCACTAGACTACCGTGGCGGGGCTTCCAAAGCAATTTCAAAACCTGACGTGGCTCTGTGGTATAGAATACCCAACTGCCACGCAGAATCCTTGGTTTGAATTCCTGATATGGCCCTGATTTCTATTCTATCCATCCGACGTGTCACTGCTTCCAATGTCGGTTTTCCTTAACAGTCTGGCATTTGAATTACTAATGTCTGAAATCGGCATTCTTGGGTCGATAAAAAGCATCAATAACTTTATGCACACACCTGCGTAACACGGCCTTTGATATACGAGTATGTGCCGCACATGTCTGGAGGAAAGGGTTTCAAAATGTACGCCCCATGCATTGACTTATTGGCGGGTGGAAGGCCGAGATATACCTTGCCCCTCATATCACCTTATGCCGAGCGCTAAACCCGCCCATCGTCATTCGACGAATATTTTGTAAAACCATGGCTATCGTAAATTAAGCGCGGCACGCCTATATTCCAGGGTGAATTCGGTGGAAGATGTGCATAGAAGTCATCGCATACCCAGCAATTCGGGACATCGCTTTTAGTTCACCGTTTTTCACACCACGTTGCATAGCGACTTTCATGCTGTACATCATAATGTACTTCACATCTTCAATTTTATTTGAAGTTTTACCATGATCAACAACCACTTTCTCATCGATTTACCGACAGGTGATTCTTTTACCCATGAATTGCTGCTTTCCTGCGCTATAGATTTGGGAAAGCCCTTCAGGAAAAAACCCACCAAGCGTAATCTCACAAAATTTCAAACACAAACACAGGTTCTCTTGACATACAGGCCAATAGAGTGCAATTAGCGAATAACTTGTTGCGCTACAATTAGCTTTTTGGAAACCACCCCTTACATTTTCAATGGATACACAAAAGTGTCTCGGGGAAAAAATATAGCTGCCAATTAAAACTAATCGCGTAGTACAGCATAAGGACATTGTCACCATTAAGTGGCTGAAATGCTATTAGCGAAAAATCAGGCATTGCTCAGTAATCATTTTTGGAAGAATGCTCCCCATGGCATTACGCCCAGCGCTTCCCCTTGGGGTGGGATTTGCCGCACTAATCAATGTCCAAGAATGCTGGACATGTATGTGCTATAACGACCTAAATGAAAAGGAAATATCGCGAAACCTACAATTTCCGTCCAGTCAATTGCAGTGGCCTATGAGGACCCATATTGTGAGGGCGACCACAGATTCGTACCGGCCACACTGATTTACCCATTGAGCAGCCTAATCTCCGCCGAAGTGACTTCCCGCAAGCCGCCGGCTGTTGAATGTGATAACCACGACAGGGAACTCATGAGTCCATGATGTCAGCAGCACCACACCGTGGCCACTGAGATACTATGGTAGGCTGGGAATATGTGGAGTTCAGGCAGATTGATGAACGTACATATAGCACATAGCTTGACTATTAAATAAAAATTAAAAAGAGTCCTTTCACTTTGTTATCGTGACTTCCCATGTACGTGAATCTTTATCGCACACGTGCGAACTCTCTTGAGAGATTAAAATACTGTTTTTGTAGAGTATAGTGGGACCCATGAGAGTGCTCCGTGTCTCCTTTAGGAGAGTCATAGGGGCGGCAAGGCACACAAAAAAAAATTAGCAGATCGCACTTACAGTGGGAATCGATCATATACGAAGCACGAATGAGTAATGTTGATATGTCACTTTAAAAGCAGCAGAACATTACGAGGTAGAGGTGAATGATGCCGTATATGACTTCCATGTCATGATTATCATATTTGGATGCGTCGTTTACCTTCGTCATCTATTCACGCCACGTGATACCAAATTTAGTATATGCGGAGATAGCAAAACGGCCGCGAGCACGCTATGAGCGCGGCATGTTGTCATGTTCTTACATCACACGCGTGTCAGGATTATCACGTTTGCACCATTCATTTATTTTGTCATCCATTTACGTCACGTAACACCAAAATTGGTATATGTGCAGCTAGCAAAATGGCCGCGAGCGCATCATGAAGGGCCAATATACTCTTATATAGCGTTGACGCACACGCACGCTGGGAACAGCGACGCTACGTTAGCATAACACGAGCACTCAATAGTCTGACGCC